GGTACCCTGCTTGGTGCAGAGGCGACCCGCTCTGCGGATCAACCAGATTGATGTCCGCACCGGCAGCGACCAGCAGCTTTACCATGTCTAAGGACGAGTCCCAGCATGCATAGTGCAGCGGGCCACCCCGGATGGAACCCACGGTGTTGAGCTCCGCCCCGCGGGCGAGCAGATACTTGACCATTGCGGCGTTTTCATGACCGACCGCGCACATCAGCACTGTCAGGCCCTTGCGATTGCGAGCCTCAAGGTCTGCCCCGGCGTTGATCAGCGGACGGACAGTTTCCATACGCGTAGATGGTGACATATACATAAGAGGCGTGAACCCTTCCTGCTGGGCGTGATTCACATCCGGGCGGAACTCTAGCAAGAGCTGGACGAGGGCAGGATTGTCGAGTCGCACCGCATCATGCAACGGGGTCTGCGCCTTGGAGCCTTGATGATTGACATTGGCACCGGCTTCCAGGAGCAGACGTACCGAGTCGAGTCGCTCTTTCTTCACGGCGCATCCCAACGCCGTGTATCCATTGTAGGGGTCATCCCCGTACTGCACTTCGAGGTCGGGACCAAACTCCAACAACGTCCTCACATTCTCCGTCTGATCGTACGTAGCGCTCAGTGCTAACGGTGTCCAGTTCCAAGCCACGATATTGGGATTGGCCCCTTTTTCCAGCAGGGCCCGAGTCGCTTGCGGCTGCGAGTAGGCGATGTGTAGAGGTGTCCAGCCCGCTTCAGAAATTTGATTGAGACTCGTCCCGTGGTCGCACAGTAACCGAATAATCCCCGCGTGTCCCTTTTCAGCCGCCAGGTGAAGGCCATTGCTATTACCCTGATCTGATAGGGTGGCCTGCGCGCCTTTGCTGATGAGGTACTCCGCTACTTCCATATGCCCTGAATAGGCAGCCCTCAACAACGCTGTCCGGTTATACGTTCCCGGCGCATCCACGGGGTGGCCAGCCTCAACAAGCAGCTTAACAAGCTCCAACTTCCCAGCCCCTGCTGCCTCGGGCAAAGGAACAACTTCATTCTTTGTCACATGCGGATTGGCCCCGTGCTCGAGTAGAAGCTTAGTAATGTGGTCGTGACCTTTGTAGATGGCGAACTGCAAGGGGCTCCAATTGACCGACCCAAGGACATTGGGGTCCGCACCGCGCTCAAGAAGTAATCGAACGCTATGAACATAGCCTTGGTCTACAGCGGCTGCTAGAGGCGTCCAGCGTACATCGCCGTGTTTGTCCAATTCCAACTCTTGATGTTTGACCAGCTCCTGCACAACGCTGTAATATCCCCATTGGCAGGCCCGACATAAGACCGACTGCCCGTCATCGCCGCCCAGGGCATTGATATCTGCCCCCGCAGCCACCAAAAGTCGCACGGGTTCAACATGTCCATGCGCGGAGGCAATATGCAGCAGCTGACGTCTTCTGGAATAGAGACGGTCTGCGATGGCCGCCCTGCCAAGAAAGAATTTCAGACTGTCCAGATGCCCCGCTGCGGCGGACCAGAAAACTGCGGAGCGCAGGTAGATATCTCCCTCATAGTCGTATTTGCCGTGGACTGAAGCGCCTGCATCGAGAAGTTTGGCTAGAAGGGAAGTCGAGTTCAGAGTGGCAGCCCGAATGAGGATAAAGTCAGGCCATTCCACCGGCGACCCAGACCTAGTCGACTGAATGATACACGAGACCACCAAATCGATGACCTCTTCATCAGCGGACCAGTTAGCTGCCCAAAGAATGTCATGCATCTGCGCACTATTCAAGGTACAATGGTCGAGCAGCTCCTTCAGCAGAGCCCTTTGTCTGTATCGCGCAGCTTCCCATGCTGCCGAAACTAATGTACTCATATCGTTGGTGTAGTCCTTCGGAAATGCGCTTGGATTCTCCAACACCCATGTGTGCAGTCGCATGCCTACCATAAACGGCAACACAGAGGGGTGGCATCGGTCAGGTCGTTCGAAGAGATTTGATGCTGCCCACCGGGCAACGGCAATACGTCGATACGACAAGGGATCGGTCAAGATCTCCTTTACCTGGGACTTGATAACCTCAGTGAGCACTACCGACCCAAACTGCTGCTCCAAGTAAAGTGCCGCGTATTGCGCGAAATTGAACTCTGTGTCCAAAAATCGAGCATCCTGCAACTCAGGAGTGGCCCAACGCTTCGGCCCTTCCTTCCACTTCTCAAACTCGGTTGATGAAAGATATCTCAAGCAGGCTATAAGAATTCTCCTACTAGTTTCCATGGATCCAGGGCCAAGCCCGAGGTCTTGGAGGACCCCTGAGAGCTGAGGATGCGCCAAGTGGACTTCTTGATACTTGACCACTAGCATGCCGTCGAACAGCTTGTCAAGTATCTCGCGGGATAGCTCAGTTTTCCCGTGTGAGACAATAGAAAACGATATCGCGCGGCGCAGCTCCCACACAGTCAAAGGTCGCAATGTCCTGTTCACCCAGAGTAGTATCTCCCCAGCCAAGTCCCGCTTTTCCTCTTGCGCTTTGAGGCTGCTCACAATGCTGGAAGTGGCTTTCTGCCTAGTTTTGAGGTCCGACGACAGAAGCTTGATCGCATCCTGCACTTCGCCGCTGCTCACAGGCCCCTTTCTGCGTCTCAGACGCCCAAGCACAAACTCACGCCAGTCCAAATCGTTATCGGAATCGAGTATCTTCTCCTGGACTCTCCGGGAGGTACCACGGAGAAATGGGTACTGTCGCACGATATCTTGGAGCGCAGCCTCTCTGCTCGCCTTGCGAGCTTCGTGGAGCATGCTGTGGGAAGGGTTATCAAGGTCAATGGTAGGCCATTCCGAGAGCCTTTGCCGCAGAGCATTCTGCGTCACAAAACTCTGCGTTACAATGGCATATTTGGTGAAGCACTCATTGGCAGTGAAGAGCTCATCAATCAGTGCCACAAATCGTGTAAGTGGCAAGCCACATTCCTTCGCGTTTGTGATAATGCACCAAACGGTTTTGTCTTCAGCGTAAGTGACGAGTTGTCGAAAGCATTGCAACAGCTCCGCGTCCGTGCAGGTGCGAAAATGGATCATACGCTCGAGGAGTGCGCTGATTGGCGTCATCATATTCGCAGTGTGCCGTAGCAGCTGTGCAATAAGCGACTTAAGTAGGCCAGTGTATGTTGCCAAGCGATCGTCACGGCTGTCGAACTGAAAGCAGATAATCATGTGTTTGCCTGGGTCGTCAGATTTCACCTTGTCCCGCAGATGACTCAAGATTTGAACACCTGCGAGAGGAGATGCAACTGAACCATGAAGGTAGACTCTAGCTGAGCGCCGTGGTACCAACCAATCCTTCAGGTTCGAATGGCTCGTGATCCAAGCATAGGGGTTGAATGCTCTCGATAGCCATCTGCTTGGGTAGAGTGGCGGCGCCATGGGTATCATGTGCGACCACCAATCCGAAAATCTGACCGCCTCACAAAAGGACTCTGCAATACTTGAGAATGTTGCAGATCGTTTGGGATGGGCGTGCTGGACATACCTTTTGCAGACCCTGAAATACGGTCTTCAATTTTGCGATAGACGGCATCGTCTTTTCGAAGACGGCAAAGGTCACTATGAGATTTGGTCGACGCCAGGGTAATTTCGTATGGTAGACCAATGTTTGCTGCCATCTGGTCAAATATCTACTGACAGTCAGTATCTGATGTCAAAGACAGAATCCTTAAATATGTTAGTGTTTGAGAAACATGTACCTGATCAGCACTGCTGCTCGAATATACATTAATGATCTCCACAGACAACGAAGCCTGTAGTCCCACAAAAGTTGAATTGAGCTCCTCAATGCCCTCCCCAAAGGCAGTAATATCCTCCATTCGAATACCGTGAGAGAGAACTCCAGTTTGAAACACAAGAGGGAGCAGCTGATTTGCCATGCTGCCGTCATATATGGATTGATGAGGACATCCGAAGAAAACCTACATATGTCAGCTTCTGACTACTGCCCCGTTGGGCTCAAGACTTTACCAAAGCTCGAGTATATATCGTGAACCAGGTGTAATTTATCTTCTCCAGCAGTGCGATACGCATGGCCTCTTTGACAATTATTCCCCCGATGTCATGCGTGATGAACACGATAGGGCGGAATGGGTCCTAGGGGCATTTAGTTGTGTACCGGTGGAAAATCAACGGCAAACAAGCACAGACCTCTGGATCATCCTTTACTTTCTGATAGAGCTCGTTGATTAATGAATCTGCTAGATCATGAATGGCCGCCATGGGTGATTTGCCGGGGCTGTCCAACTCTAAGGAATATCCGAAACTGTAGATTCGTGCTACCGGTGGATTGCCAGCAAGACCCTCGGTCAGCCAGGTCGGCTTGTCATCCTCATCGGTCGGACTTGCCCAAGTCTTTTGCTGATCTCCATGAAGCCCGTGGACTAAGACAATACTAGACGGGTCTGTCAGTTTTGAAACATCGACATGGTCTGAAAGGCAGGGAAGTCATACTCGTACTCGCCCTCTGTCGGCTCTAAAAGAGCTAACATAGGTGGTTTGACATCTTGGGGATCTCTATTCTCATCGCTTACTGTTGATGAAGCTTGTTCGGAATCCTCAACTGTCTCTGTCTCTGTGTCTTTCTCTAGCCTTTCATCGCCCAACTCTGAGCCTGAAGTGGACGAGGTAGATGCCGTGCTTTGTTCATCGTCAGAGCTGGCGATCGACCCACGGTCGGACATGACAATAGAAGCAGCAAGAAGCTTGATATGTCAGCAGCTGAAAGTTAACTATCCAATATGTGCGAGATTCGACAATCAAAAGGATCGAAAAGTTGTGAGCAAGATTGTGTGCAGTGTTCCTGTTTCAAGCGGGTGCGTGTTTCGAAGCTGGCAATTAGCCGGTGCCTCCCTTAGTGCGTTTGGGCCGAAAAGAAGGGGCGCATGTCAGCTCCGCCAACAAGCGTGGAATCACCCATAAATTCCTGCTTATCTTGCCGGATCCCACTTTTCCCAGAACCTGAACCATCTTGAAAAAGCCTTATATGAAAATGAATGATACAGCAAACGAGCACGATCAGGATACCGACGGGGATTTCGAATCCGCCGATAACAGCCCCGATTTTACTTTGGGCGGGCTGAGCTGGGATCTAGGACTGGCCCCTGCTGGAGACGCAGGCAGTTCGTTTCGCGTGCAGAATGACCCGCGTGCGCCTTATCAGCGCAGCAACGTGATCCCCAGCGTAAAGGTGCAATCGACATCCGCTGTTCTTGTCTCGACGTGATCCATGGGATAATGAGCGAGCATGGAAATGATCGATTTGCAACCCTGCTCGTGCTTGAATTTCGGTTTGACGTGCGGAAACACGCCCGGCGGATTGAAGGGGTCCAGATCGCCCTCGAATTTAGGGCTCGGGAGGCAGGCGAGGCCGGTCCTGAAGTCTATAAAATCGCCCCAGATGGTAACTTCAGCCTTGTTCCCACAAGCCAACGAGAGGACATAAAGCGATTGGTTTCCGGCCAAGCTGGAGCCTCAGCACCGGTAGGAGGGCTGAACATCACCGGGACTGTCGGTTGGGAGAAGACTATCAGCCGCGACAAACAGGACCATTGCACTGTGGTGGGATCGCGGGACCTGGTGGGCCGGAACTGGGGATCGGCAAACAGTGCGTCCTGGACCCTCCTGGAGAATAAGTCCGCCCAGAGTGGTGTTCCATCTCTACTGCGCACGGCCATTCTGCTGCTAAGGGAGGATGAGCAGCCATTCGAGTGCGTGGTCAAGCTCACGGCTGATGTTGTCACGGGTTGGCGGGAACGGCTGTGGGGAGGCAAAGGACGCGTGCCCAAGGATGATCCAGTACTGTTCGACCCCCTTTTGAATCCAACAAAGAATTTGCAGGAATTTGATGTCTACAATCTGGGGCAGGTCGATTTGGAGGGGTTGTGCAGGGTCACGCACCAGCGGAATTGGCAGGACACACCTAAGCACCAGTCTCTATGTTAGCCCAATCAGAGCACGTCAAACACGAGGGATGGTCAAAACATATGCAGGTTGAATACTTAGTCTGCTCTGGTGAATTGAAAACTTGAAATCAACCACCCAAATGCCACAGGAGCGTGCTGCGGATAGTGACTCGAGTATTTGATTGGCACAGACAACAATTGTTCGCATGTTTCGATAACCAAGTGTCCTGCCGCGGCCCGTACTTATTACCACGCGCAGTGTATTTACCACGCACTTCAGCCGCTCTTTCGCCCCCTGCAGGAGAAACGAGGTAGCATGATGACCATCGGCGGTCGAGAAAGACTCGATCTCAGAGCATCTGTCTCTGATGGTGCGCACCGCCTTCCAGCCCGGTATCTCACAGAATGTTGACGGTAAGCCCGCCCACCTCGTCACTGGATGACGAACCTTTCATCGTGGCTTCTCCGACGGAGGATCTCTTGAAGTCCAATTTTGAAAAGCCACGAAGCGATTCCGAAGGCGATGACGACTCTGAAGATGATTCAGAAGCGGAGCAATCAACGAGCGTAAAGCGCCGTTTTGAGAATATTCGGGACAGTTTGCGGGAGAAGACCATCTCGTTGACCGACCGCGATCGGTTTCACCGCTTCGTGCGTGAAAATGAGGATATTCTGGATGAGATCGTCGAGTACGGAACCTTATTGCACTACCTCGTGGAAGGCGCCCGAGACAAGCGCTTTAGTCGATATGAGCCCTTGGTTGAGTATCTGGTGCGGCGATATCCCGCGCTCCTGGCGAAAAAAGACCATTCTGAACGGACCGTTTTGTCTTGGGCTATCCAGAAGAAGCGCACTAGCCTTGTGCGGTGCATATGTGCTAATCATCCACAAATCAATCAAGTTATCGCTGTACAAGGGTTGCATGCACGGAATTGCCTTCATGTGGCTATTCACGAAGAGGCAGCGCCAGCTCTTATCCTCGAACTAATCAGCACGGCCGATATAGAGGCTTTGATGGCTCTGGACGACAAAGGCAATACCCCGTTGCACCTGGCAGTTGCATACGAGCGATGCACCGATGCAGGGCTGAGTGTTGTCAAAGCATTGATTGATCGCTGTGATAAGGCACTGGATGCGCAAACCAGTACCACAAATCGACTCTCTCCATATCGTTATCATCTGTTTACCAGGGCAGAAGCGGAGGCCAAGGCGTCTCGACGGAAACATGTGGAGCAGCAACAGCCCCAAGGTAATAAGGATGTCGGTCTGCCAGTCGGTAAGGGAAGTGTTGTTGCCAAGGACAATGTCATGCTTCCTCCTAGCCTTGCACCGACGAGCTTGCCTGGTCCAGATCACAAACTACCATCCGATAACCGACTAGGTCTACCCCGACGAAGCAATACCTTGAGTGAGCTTCATCCGTCACCGAAGGATCAATCAGGGTCCATGGGAGATTTGGCCTTTGTAACAGCTTTGGCAGTGCACGACAAACCTCAGCCTATGAACAAATCTGTTATATTTGCAAACGGCACGGTTAACGAGTCAAAGAAGACATCCACCAAGAAAGCAAGTGAGGGCATGGTGGTCACGAAACAGACCGCGGACACAATTCGAGATTATCTGAAAGTTCATTACCTGAGGACACGGGATCACGACCAAGCGATTGAACTGCTATACGGACGAGACCGACGTGAGTACCATGTTTTCTGACGCTCCAATAATAAGTAGTATGCTGAACGAGCCCTAGCCAGAGATCTATACTTCGACCTGTACGAGTCTTCGTCACGATACATCGACCAGGACTGGATTAGCCGTGGACTAGAGTACCTATGCTTTGAGGACACATTGCAATATGTTGCACTTCCGCGTCTCGAATTGACGAAAAAGGTGCAATCCGTCGATTCGCGATTTGCACGTGTGAGAAGTCTACTGCCTGATGGTGAGGGTCGACGTGATATGGTATTTTTGTTTGACTTTCTGCGAAAGAAGGGAGTATCACGTATTTTGCGAGTTATTGTGGACGACACGACCTCTCCCGCGCACAGCGACGAAGCAATAGAACAGGCGCTGGGAGGCTTTCGAGTCGAGGTGTGGGACTGGCGCAAGATCGACATCTCCATTGACACGATCATTAGTGTGGCGCTGGATGTTCGGGAGGTGTATTTGTACTGGAGTGGGAACAACGCAGTGCTGCGTGGATGGAGCGATCACGGCGGTCTGGCACAATTGAAAAGCCTGCGGACTGTGCACCTGCACGTTAGCCAGGTACGTAGAGAACACGAAGTGATGGATGGTTTGAATCTCACATGTCACAGGGTCTTGAAACCGCCGAGCGGACCAAGCGAAATGTGAATCAATTCCGCAGCAGGCTGGCCGCACTACGACCAGACATCCACATTAAGCTGGTAGAACATCGGCCAGATGTATCAACTAACCAGACAGGGGCCTCCGTCGAGGGAGCTCGCGAGCAACAAGTCGAGCATCGTCACCGTTGGCTGACGTGCATGGACAACTTCGCGGACTTCATTCAAAATATTCGGCCCCCGACGGGATGGAAAGAAGACGTGCGTGTGGCGTTGATTGACGATGGTGTTGACATTGAGGAAAAGACTCTGCGAGGTAAGATTATCGGCGGTCGCAGTTTCTGCCCACGGGACTATGCACAGCACTTGCAGCGGCCCTTCTATGTGTCAGGCAGTGGGCATGGGACCGTCATGGCGAGCCTCATCTGCCGGGTGTGTCCCACTGCAAAGTTGTTTGTAGTCAAGCTGGCGGAGCATGTCAGCGAGAATTCAACCCGTCGGATCACAGCCAAGAGTGCAGCTAAGGCTGTTCGCGCAGCAATTGACCGACAGGCTCACATTATCTCCATGTCATGGACGATCGAACGCAATGAACAGAATGCGGCCGACATTCGAGATTTGGAAGCCGCGATCGGAGCCGCTGCTAACGCAGGCATCCTGATGTTCTGTGCCGCGAATGATCAAGGGGCGGCGTTGGATGTCAGCTTCCCTGCTGCTTGTGCCAATACCAAGAACATCTTCAAGATCGGTGCTGCGGAGGCTTCTGGCGCGGTATGGAAGTGGGTAGGAGACGCGGCGGCTGTCGACTTCATCTTTCCCGGCCACAAAGTGGTGAAAGAGCGACCCAACGACGCACCGATCGACAAATGCCAGACTTTGACGGGGTCTTCGGTAGCAACAGCTATCGCATCTGGGTTAGCAGCGCTGATTCTCTATTGCGTGGAGCTCAGCTTCGTGCAGAGCGAGGCTGTCAACCCACCTGGCAAGGTGGATCACTTCGAGGGTCTTTCACGTCATGAGCGCATGCGTGAGGCCTTCTTAGCAATTGGTACAACTCAGAGCAGTGGAAACAAGTATATCGAGGTGTGGAATGTGTTTGAGAAGGCCGTGGAGAAGAGCCAGGGAAAGCCACCAGACCAATTCCCAGCGATTGTCAATGAGGTTGCGAACAAGCTGAAGGCCAGAAAGATGCTGGAGTGAGATGCATGTTAGCACAGAGGCGTTCAATCAATGTGACACTTTAAGTCTAGACTTGCTGTCCGATGGTATGCTCGTGTTACGGTGGTTGTAAGCTTTTCAGAGTGAGTTTGGAACGGTGGTGTTGTGATGTGTGCCGGAGGTAAATAGGTTGGGAAGGCGAAAGGTAACGCATCATGTGATCTGGCCAAGGAAGGCCACACAGATCCTCAGTCTTGTCACAGCTTCCATCTGTAATTACTTCTGGATTTTACATCTCGTCGGTTGAATTTGAAGTTTGACTCGATCTAGTCTATACCATGCCAAACGAGTCATCCTCCAACTCATACCTATGCCTGCAGGAAGGAGCCGACCGAATTTGCTAAAAGCCTCAAACATAGAGGGATACGATCATGCGTTTTTCTTATCCCAATCGTGATTCTTTCTGCTTTTGAGAAGCTGCCTCCTTGATTATATTATTGCTATGCTTCGAAGCGCTGGGCGAGAAGCTACCAGGGGACTGACTACTTGCGCAACTCCAAGAAAGCCAAACAGGCTTGAAGAAGTCAATGCAGAAACCGAATGGTATGGGTCTGACGAGATGATAGCCAAGGTTATTCTAGTCGATGTGGATTTGGTGACTGGCCCATCCTCGAATCTGTGCTACATCATGTCTGCCCAGTGGTGTTTGTTTCGCAAGTATGCAACAGAAAAGTCACGGGTTGCTTCTCCCAACCCAGCCCAGCGGGAGCCTCCATTTTCTCAATCTCCAAATACTTAAACCACCTGCCCCCTCTCCATTCCGACTTTGCTTGTCACTTCGCAATTCCCATTTCAATACAAGTGACGAACTGCCGTCCCATAGTATTGCGTGCCCCGCACCAAAAGCACGCCATGCCCTCACCGAATCTCCGATGGCTAACCGGCGATAACCCGGACGCTCTAGCCACGGGACTCTCGTTCACCATGCCATGGCCTAAGGGCCGATACCAGCCAAGCCAGACCTTCTCGATTGAGACGGACGTCAAAAGCTATCCCCTCGATAGTCGCGAGCTGGCATACTGGACGGACGGGTCTCTGAAATGGACGGCGCATTCCATCAGTGGCCATGCCGGGTATAGCAGCGGGTATACCGTGAAGGCTGCGACCGAGCAGGAGATCGAGTCCCGAATATGGGCTGAGACGACCCCGGAACATATCATTGTCTCCACGAAAATCGGACTGAGTGTGCGATTTCCGACTCAGAGTTCTCCGACATTGTTTGAGAACATTTCCTTGGATGGACAACAAGTGTCCTCCGCCGCTACTGTGGTCTCGTCGATCAACAACCACGAGTATAGAACAGTCGTACACAAGAGTGCCATTGAAAACCTCACCTGGGCGAGAGCAGTTGTCAAAGTCTCTGGACATGTTGTATATGAGGGCAGCGAGCATCTACCATTCGACGTGCGAGTTTACCTCTACTCCGATGCGCAGCCGCTTAAAGTCGTCTTCTCGTTCATCCATGACCTGCACCCCGAGGAACCGTTGAACTCACTCGGTCTCAGATTCTCGGTACCATTTCGCGGTATCGAGCACTACAACCGCCACATTCGCTTCATAGGTCCCACAGGAGGGATTCTGAGGGAAGAAGTGCAAGGCCTATCAGGGTTGTGGCATGGCCCTAGCATGCAAAATCGCATCGACCAGACCGCCGGAAGAACCGTGACCCTTACAGATGCCCCATGGCTATCTTCTGTTCCGTCCTGGAACGACTATACCCTCAGTCAGCTATCCCCCGATGGATTCACGCTAAAGAAGCGAACGAAACAAGGCCGTTCATGGGTGAAGGTGACAGGAGGGAGCAGATATTCCGGCATTGCATACATTGGCTCCGCACAGCGCGGTGGCCTGGCAGTGGGTATGACCAATTTCTGGGAGCAGTACCCCACCCAAATCGATCTGAGCAATTTGACCACCGACAAAGCATCAACAACGATATGGATGTACTCACCTCTAGCAGAACCGCTGAATACCCATCCATACCACGACGGACTCGGTCTGGACACCTACGAGGAACAACTCAAGGCACTCAAGGCCACATACGAGGACTACGAGCCCGGCTTCGGTACAGCCAACGGGATCGGTCGAACGGCAGTCTTCTTCCTTCGACCATACAGCAACGGGACCCCATCTGACAGCGACCTAAGCGCATTTTCAGCTCTAGTCCGTGACCCCCCTCGCTTGCTCCCCACCTCAGAGACCATATACAAGGCTGGCGTGTTTCACGGCACATGGGCCCCGGACACTCGCCTCCTTGGCCTCAGCCCCACAGCCACTGAACTAAACATCGAACATAATCTGAATACCCTATTCACCCACTACCAGCGCCAGGTCGAGCAACACCGCTGGTACGGCTTCTGGGACTACGGCGACGTGCAGCACACGTACGACCCCCACCGACACGCGTGGCGCTACGACGTCGGGGGGTTTGCCTGGGACAACAGCGAGCTGTCCACAGACCTATGGCTATGGCTGTATTTCCTGCACTCCGGGCGAGCGGATGTCTTTCGGATGGCCGAGGCCATGACCCGCCACACGAGCGAAGTGGACGTGTACCATTCCGGCCGCTTCAAGGGTTTCGGAACGCGTCATGGGGTGCAGCATTTCAGCGACAGTTGCAAACAGCTCCGGATCTCCAACGTGCTGTATCGACGGTTCTACTACTATTTGACCGGGGACGAACGAACGGGAGTCCTGATCGCCGAGCTTCAGGACTGCCAGCATGCGCTGCTGGGACTCGACGCCCATCGGAAAGTCCAGCAGCACGGCGCGATTTCGGAAGGATTTGCACTGACGGACATCTGTCTTGACGGGGGCGCGTTAGCAGCGTCGTGGCTTACCGCATGGGAGAGACGGGAGCCGGGATGGACGGAGGGTAGAGATCGTCTGCTGAAAATGCTTGAGGGCATCGCAAACCTAGAATATGGGATCGCTACGAAGGCAATTCTACTCCACACGAAGACGGGAGAAGTGCGCACATGTCCGCCTCCCACGCGACCGTATGCCATCTCGCACTTGTCGATGCTATTCGGCTTCCCGGAACTGGTATCGGAGCTCGTCGACTACGCTGAAAGCGAACATCCAGCGGCCGTGGATGCGTTCCTGAAGGCTTACCTGACATATTGTCGGTCTTACAACGGCGGGGCGGATGTTCAGCGCGAGGAGTACGGCTTCGAGTTCCCTGCTACAGCCACATGGCGACAGAGCCACTCTACACTAACTGCTTTCGCGGCGAGACGCGGTGATGACGCCGAAATAGCCCGCGCAGCTTGGCAACAGTTCTTCGAAACGGATGGGTATACCAAAGACCACCAATGGACAGTGACGCCGACCGCGGCGCCAACCTATTTCTCCGAGGGTGAGGAGGCGCCCTGGATTACGACAAACGAGGCAGCACGGTACGGTGTGTCGGCTATATTCAATCTTGCGAACATTCGCAAGTACCTCGACTAGCTGCTGTCTTCTCCATGAGTCTAGCGATCCATCATTAAGCCCGGGTATTGTGTTCAGTTCTTGACCAACACCAGAACTAGAGGCTCCGTAGTCATAGAAATTCTCAATCATCATGCGCCTTGACCCTCGCAAACACCGCCCCCATAATTGTCAAACAGATAAACAGCATCACAAAGACAATTGCAACCATCCCACAACATTGTAGCTGATTCTGTCTCTGCTCTCGTCGGGCGATGATCCGCTCGCAGGCATCACAGTGCTCATGGGGCGTGGTAATCACCGAGGTGACCAGAGGAATAGCGGATGTCGGATCGGTGTCTCCGTGGTGGTGGGATGGTGACGGTTGTGATTCCAGGTCATCCTGGTCTGCTTGTGCGACTTCCGAGTACTGTGAGATTAAGAGTTGATGTCAGCTTGGCAGGGGTGATGACGCAGTGGGGACTTACTTCTTGGTAGGGCGGGGCTGCCTCGTAGGGTTGCTTTGGAGCCATTCCAGGACTTGGTGGAGTGCTTGGGATTGTTGATAAGACTCCGGTACCGATACTCGCTTACAATGTTGAGAACGCGATGCTTCTGTATGATGGCAGATGTCTATTCTTATGTAGGAATCATTCTGCCTGGGTCGCAATATGGAGGGTGAGATTGCACAGCCTCATGAGGCTCACCATCACCTGGTTGGTTGGCATGGGTTAGAGCTACGTCAGAAATCTTATCACTGGCCTTACGGTGGCTTGGCCAAAGGTCAGGGCACTTGTGGCTGTTTTACTTTCCCAAATGAGCCCCGACACTTTGTGCAACTGACCGACAGCCATTATGCCACAAACCACGTGACACAGACACAAAAGAGACAGACTCGACACACGAGGAGATTATACCCCACACAGGTTGCTTGCTCTCGAAATTCACTCAATCTTACAGTTCAGGACAAACAAGCGCACGGAGGTGTACCTACACGGAAGCAGAAACTATCAGCATATTGACAACGATGTCGAAGCGCTCAAGAACAAGGACGGGCAATCCGGTGGCATTAGAGGCTTGAGTGTCTGCTCTGCACCAGCCACACTTTAGCCGCATCGGGGCCTGGTCAGCACCGGCCGGTATCGGCACGTTGCAACACAGTCAATCACAATCGCACTACTATACAACTTCTCTAGTCCATAACATTGAGAACCAGATGCATTGACATCGAAAGGAATCCATGTAGTCTGTCTCAACACTTACAGGGCATAGCATCACTGAAATGCATCTTTGGTCAGGAACATAGCATACCAGCAGTCTACATTCAGCTCTATCATAACTCTATATCCAGCCCTCTAAATCTATATCCACTCTACACTCCAATCTATATACAAAAAAATAAAAACCACGTCCCCATCACAGCTCAACCAACCCCAAGACAACTCCATGAGACTACCCCAAAATCCCACCCCTAACCAGCCACCCCCTGGCCTCCTCCCAAATCTCCTCCCTAACCCTGACCCTCCTCGACCTCCTTCCCTTAGGTTCCCCATGCGTAAACCCATGCCTACACCCCCTGGCCATAGTCCACTTATACCCCCCCACCTCAAACGCGCGCTCCTTATCCCGCCTGCCCTCCAACCCGGCCAACCGATGAATCATCTCCTGCGCCTCAACCCTCAACAAATCAAACTCCGCCGCAACCATATACACCCTTTCCGGCAGATCCTCGGTGGCCGCATACCACGGACTGAGGAGGGGATCCCTCCGATCCTGGCCGGGACAGACATAGCCCCAATCGATCCACCAGCCGGCGTCGCCCAGATGATCGCGCCAGTAGTCCTGGTAGGGGCGGGCGTGCATCTTGTCCGGCGGGGAGTGGCTGAAGTCCACGATGGGGTAGTAGCAGATCGCAGCCCGAAACTTTCCTTTCAGGGCAGGCAGCTGCGCGACGGCGAGCGCGAGGCTGGCGCCCGCGCTGAAGCCGCCGATCACCAAGCGGGTGGGGTCGATGGGCAGGGCGGTGGGGTCCGCCAGCAGGTCGAGGATCTGCGCCTCCACGTCGTGGATGGCCGTCGGGAACGGGTGCAGCGGGATCTTGCGGTAGTCCAGGCTGAGGACGAGCATGCCCGTGCGCTTGCTCCAGGAGGCGCAGAAGGGGTCGTCGAAGCGCGCCGTGTGGACGGCGAAGCCCCCGCCGTGCAGGTTGATGTACGTTGGGAGGAGGGTCGGTTGGCCCGGCGTGTAGGTGGGCGGGTAGAAGATGCGGGTTTGCAGCGTCGGGCGCGATGGGAGGTGCAGGGTTAGGGTTGGGTGGGTGCTGGCTAGGGGCGGGTGGATGAGGTCCTTGTAGATGGTGTGTATTGTGGCGATGAGTTTGAGGCCCCAGAGCCAGAGGAAGCAGTAGATGCGGTGGTAGAGGGGGAGGAGGGCTTTGGGGAGGGGTTCCACCTCCGCTCGCGCTTTGGCTGCCATGGCGGGGACAGTTGCTTGCAGGTTTAGTTGGGGACCGAAGACGCGATGGGTGATTCAAGCTTTTAGGGGCCGGAGGTAGGCATGATGATTCTGAAGTGGGGACGCCCTAGTCGCTCTAGGTGGGATAGGCTGGTGGAGGGCGCGCTTTGCAAAACTTCATTTGACTGATTTAGATTGGTCGGCGCATGTGGGTTTCAGCTCAACTGTATCGACATCTCAACATTTCATGTGGTAATTTTAGGCAGAATTCTCTGGAAGAGGCCCCTGAAAAGTGCAGTGGAGAATTTTGTTTGCTTTCTTGCGCGAAAGACCCACTTGGGCAAAAGAGCGGCTCCACTTCGGTTTTGCTATTAAAGTGACAGGCTGGAAGCAATTGCAGGGAGTAGATCATCTTAGAGGTGCTGGTATTGCCTGTAGGGCTGACATATTACCCCCAGAATTCAATTAATGTGATCGTCGCTTCAAGTTGGTAGATGCTACGAAAGTCAACCACGGTGTCCAGTAAAAATGTCATGCTCAGGTGTTGACTATGCTGCAAGGAGAGTCAACCCACTCTACTGGAGCACCACTGGTCTGGTTAATCAGCACGCGGCAACTCTTACACTATGTTTATTAATGTATTTACACATTCGAGTAATACAGTATCTATGCAAACATTCCATTTACTATGCGATCTATTTCCAAAAGTCTGATGCATGACACAGAGGGTTTGGCAGAAAAGCCCCTTGCCCACTAGCAAGCATAGTACAGGAATGATATACCGTACATTGAAACAATCCAGACAAGAAAGACAAGAATCAGACGACGCACAACCAATAAAACCACCCAGACCTATTCACAATAGTCGAGAACAAAGGCAAGAAAGCTACAACTTCGCCCTCCTCCCTTCCTTCTTAACCCTAGCACCGGCCCACTCCATAAACACCCCGACCACTCGTTCAATCTGCTCCTTGGTGTTATCCGCATGCACCGTGAGCCGGACGCGTCCCAGCTGCTTCGGCACAATCGGATAGTGCACCGAGTCTACCCAATACCCATTCCCCCGGATATGGTCCGCGAGCTCATTCTCCTCGCCGCCCGGGGTGATCAAGGCAAAGATGGGTGTCTCAAACGGACCCGACCCCCAGTTCTCGGACCCGGGAATCTGAATGATACCCTGCTTGCTGACTTCGGCCCATTGCTTGTGTTGAGTCACCATGCGCTCGAAGTAGCGCGTGTTCTGCTGCAAACGACGGCGTCGCTGCACTTCTTAGTGCTGATGGTAGAGATAGCCGCGGGGGAAAGACTCACCTGCTCGCCCTCCTCGCTTGCGACCAACTCATAGCCCGCGCGCACAGCCGCCACAGTGACGAACGATGGCGCGGTCGAAAACACGATATTGCGGGCATAGTTGATCATGGACATACGCATGGTCTCCGAGCAAAGAACAACAGCTATCAACAACCAGTTAGTGAAATTCTCAAAGTGATCAACCAAAAGGGAGCTTACCCCCCGTCGACCCCAACCCCTTGCCGCAAGTATGCACCCGGATCCCAATCTCCTTCTCCAATCCATAATGACACACCAGCCCGGATCCGTCCCGTCCAATCAGCCCGTTCGAATGCGCCTCATCCATGGCATACACCACATTGCCCTGTGGGAGCACCTCTTGGGAAATGCGCAGCATCTCCTGGATGGGCACCACATCACCATCCATGCTATAGAACGACTCGACGGCCACAAAGACCACGCTCTTGCCGTCCTTGACCCCCTTCTGGTCATCGCGGAGGGCCTCGAGGGCACGCCGGAAATCTTTGAGGTCGTTGTGCGCGAACGACCGGGTCTGCGCGCGACCGCGTCGCATCCCGTCGTGGATGCTGGCGTGGATGTATTCGTCATGCACGACCACATCATCGGGACGCGGGACGGTCGACCACAGGGCGACGTTGGCGTCGAAGCCGGAATTGAAGAACAGGCCCGCCTCAGCCTTGTGGAAACGGGCCAGGTCTCGCTCAATGTCATCCAAGTAGTGCGTTGTGCCCTCGAAGATGCGCGTCGAGGTGCTGCCCACGATGAAGTTGGGGTGCGCGTCCAATTGCTCCAGAAAGCCCTTGGTCAGCGCCCGCGAGGTCGCGATGGACAGGGTATCGTTGGACCCGAAGTCGACCAATTGGTTGACCATACCGGGACTAGGAGGCTGCATAAGGCGCTTCTGGCGCTCACGCTGCTCCAATTGGGTTTGGAGCTTGGAATTGAGGACCTTTTCGCCGGACATGTTCTCTGGTATTCAGGCTGGAAGTGATGTTTCCACTTTTCACTGTGAGCGATGCTGTGTTTGTGGTTCCTTCTACAGTCCACCTTGAGATCGAGTGGGTTTATATAGTTTTGCCGCCAGTAGAGGACCCTACCCCTCGCCTACTCTAACCCGGCTAATGGTCGGCATCGACGACCGAAGTTTCTGTGTTGGAAGTACACATCCATTGAGTATGATTGAAGTCATCCAAACCTTTCGACCAGAACCACATTAGACCCTGGTGGCGAGGATTGGCGGGAAGTTGCGTCAAGATAAAGTTGACAGATTGTCGAGAAGCTGCAGAGCTTGGTCAACCCACGAATCATGTCTAGTCATCTTCAAAATCTTGTTTCTTCAAAGTTCTTCACAGCCTGAAAACTAGTGTTGATTGTGGAATGACATCAGCCTACATGCGAATGTCTGTGCCACGCCCCCTTACTGATTGTAAGGAGCCGTTACCACCTTCCCTGTTTGTGTTCTCGCCCGTGCAGAGTGTGGTTCGAAAGCACCATTCTGAGTCATGTGAGCGATTTCTTATTCTGGACTTCTCTGTAAGGGTGATCGGGGAAGAGATAGTCATTCATCGGATACTGCCCCCGCGCGCGCCCTTCAGGAGGTTTCTCAGCAGGTCACCTGCGGTGTAGCGTCACGACTACCTGAAGCGACCGCTATTCCCGACAGGCTGGTTTGACACCCTGTTGATAGCACCTTCGGTGCAATTAGCCATCCAGTCGAACTTGCCCTGCAGTAGGAAAAGCAGGTTGTCAGATGTCATTGTTTATAGTCTGCCTTAAGGTTCATGCTCGTGAACGTTTCTGGCATTGAGTGACGTCTCCTGTCTTCAAGTGTGGCCCTCCAGGCTTCAATTGCCAGAAAGCTGAAGAATTAGACGCCGAGATAGCAAGTTCTCCGTAGGGTCACATACGTCATTGTATGGAAGCGTGCTGCGTCAATCTGAAGAGGATCGTGGAGAGTGACCTTTGGTATGGGGACAGACCAGGCTCAAGGATATAAAGCCGTGTCAAGGGCGGTCGAAAGTGAGGAAGAAGCACAGTCACCGACGAAGAACTCTTCAAAGGATATTAGCATTTGCACAAGACTATAACAACCCCGAACAATTAAAACAACCATACTTTTACTACAATATCACTTGATCTTGAGCCACCAGCACAACCATCATGGAGAGAATTATTTACGACCACGCTCAGGAGAATCCGGATGCTGTCGCCGTCGAAGACGAACAGGCATCCCTGACCTACGCCGAGCTGCTCGGAGAAGCAGGTCATCTGTCGTGCGAGCTGGGAGACCTTGACCCCGACGAGCCTGTGGGTATTGTGTTGGGCCCTGGCATCAACCAGGTTGTTGCTCAGCTGGCGGTGCGCTTGGCTGGGGGAACATGTGTCCCACTGGAGCCATCAATCCCAGAACAGCGCATCAAGGACCTTTTGGAAGAAATCGAGGTCAAAACGATCCTGATTGAAGAGGATTCTTCGCTGAATTGGCCCGACCGAAAGCTCGTTCAATTCCCAAAAGTGACCGGCGGAAGAACACTGGATGAGAAGCTCCCCAAAGGGTTCAAGGACCCGTCTAAACGCAGCCACATTCTCTTCACGTCTGGATCGACTGGAAAGCCCAAACCGGTTCAGATCCAAGCCGAGGCCATCCTGCATCTTGCCAACAAAACACCAACGACCCCCTTGCTGAAGAACGACCGTGTTGCCGAGTTCAACAACCCGGGATTTGACTTGAGCTTGTATGAGATCTGGGTGACCTTGATTTCAGGTGCCACTGTGGTCGCTATCCCGCGCGACTCGGCCATCAGCGCGGGTGCATTAGCTGAAACAGTCTCAAAACACCGGCTAACCGTGATGATCATCACCACTGCCCTATTTACTATCACTAGTACTCAGGACCCGACAGCATTTTCGTCCCTGCGGCATGTCATTACCGCAGGGGATGTGGCAAATGTGCGTGCCATGAAAGATGTGCTGCAAAAGGGCGCTCCTGAGCATCTCTGGAATGCCTATGGGCCAACAGAGTGTGCGACCCTGGCTACTATGCAGGAAGTCACACTTGAAGAAACTGGCAGAGACCGCATTGGTATCGGTAAGGCGGTGGGGGATTTGGAGCTCGTCTTACTTGACGAAGATCAACAGCCCGTGCATGAGAGCGGCAAGCAAGGGGAAATCCACCTTGGCGGACCACAACTGACGCCCGGATACTTGAACCGAAAAGAGCATAACGAAGAGCGATTTGTTGATATGAGCAGAGAGGACTTGGGCCTTGGCGAAGGCACAGTGCGTCTGTACAAGACTGGAGACTTGGCCGAGTGGCGCGAGAACAGCGATTGCCTGGATTTCATTGGCCGGAACGACTCCCAGGTTAAGCATGAAGGCTTTCGGGTTGAGCTTGGCGAAATTGAGCGAGCGCTCATGTCGCACGATGCGGTTCACTCAGCAGTTCTGATTCATCAGCCACCTTTGACAGAGGGAGAAGGCCATGCTTTGGTTGCCTTTGTGTCAGCTAAAGATCTGGACGAGGAATCGCTCATGGACTACGCTCGAGAGCGTCTCCCACATTACATGGTTCCCAACGCAATTGAGTTCTTGAGCGATTTTCCACTGACACCTAACGGCAAAGTGGATCGTAAGGCTCTGACTCAGCAGCGACTTGACGCCTTGCAGGAGAAGCAAATGGAGGACAAGACAGAGAGCACAGTGCCCAACGGTGAAGGGCCACATGACAAAGCAGGAAAACTTCGGAGACTCTGGACAAACCTGTTACATCTGTCCGAAGAGGTGTCTGATGATGACGACTTCATCTCTCTAGGCGCCAGTTCACTTCAGGCTGCCTCGTTGATTAGCCAGATACGCCAGGAATTTGACGTTCAGGTTTCGATGCACGATCTCCACGGCCACTCTCAATTCAAGCAGATGCTGGATTTGATCCAGCCTAGCGAGCCTCGACACAACAAAGCACCTGACGATACTCGGGTATGGAAGCAAGATGTGCTTCTTGTTGACGACATTGACATGGTGCCTCAATGGGAGGCCGAGGGCGAGGGTCGTGTGTTCATCACTGGTGTGACCGGGTTTGTGGGGGCCCACCTTCTGTCTAACTTGATGCAACGACCAGGAGTGAAGCAGATTGCATGCCTCGCGCGTAGCAGGAAAGACATAAGTGCCTGGGCTCGGGTTCAGCAAGCTCTTGAGCGATACGACGTGTGGCCTGACAAGCTTGAATACACGCAGAAGATTCTCGTGCTTGAAGGTGACCTCACTGATTGGCATCTAGGCCTCGGACAGGAGAAGTTCACATGGCTTTCAAACTGGGCATCAGTGGTCTTCCATCTTGGAGCCAAAGTCAACTTTTGCGAGTCGTACCGAGAGCACCGCACGACAAACGTCGTTGGCACCAGAAACATCCTCCACCTCGCCGCCGCAGGTCGTCGTAAAAGCTTTCATTACGTATCTAGTATTGATGTCTGGGGGCCAACAGGGAACATCCTGGGAACAGAAGAGATCTACGAGGACGATCCCCTTCAGCCACACATTCAGGGCCTTCGGTATGACCTGGGTTATGCGCAGAGCCAGTGGACAGCGGAGGCGATGGTGCGCCGGATGAGGGACCGTGGCTTGCCGGTGGCCATCTACCGGCCAGGTTTTGTTGTTGGCCACAGCCAGACAGGAGCCATGAATCCCGACGATTTCGTGGCCCGCCTATTGATAGGCTCCATCAAGGTCGGTGCCTTTCCCCGAGTGGTCGATCAACGTCTGGAGTACGTGACAGTCGACTACGTGGTTGACGCGATGATGGCCATTGCGACCCGCAATGAGAATTTGGGACGCTCGTACAGCTTGTTGTCACCGGATGTCAGCAACTCTGTCACGGTCGAACAAACCTGCGACGTGCTCAAGGAGGCAGGCTATCCCCTCGAACTACTCGATTTTGAACAGTGGGTTGAAAGGGTGACCCACAGCGATGCAGACGGATTATTGACGCCGTTGATGCCATTGTTCCAGGAGCGGGTGTTGGGGCAGTTAACGCGATGGGAAGCTAGCCAGTACAGTCCGGTCTATCGGTGCGACAACGCACTTAAGGCTCTCAGTGACAATCCAGAGATCAGGTTTCGACCGTTTGACGCGCACTTGTTGAAGAAGTTTATTTCTTTCTGGGACCGGAAGGGATTTCATCATGTTTGAAGCGATTGGTCTTGGCGCATTTGAAATTCTATTGAGGCAATGATCTTGTTGGATTTCATGTTCAACTTAACATAGCTTTGAGCTTAAATTGAACCACGGGTCCCATCTTGCCTCCTCGACGGGGCACAAACTGGTTGATTGTAATTCGGTGGAATAGACTGGATCCGATTGAAGGGTTAGATTAAAGGTTTGGGAATGTTTGCGCTGTGCACCAACCTACACCGTCTTTTCAAGCCCCTTATATGCAACGGGGTGAATGGGACGGGACAAGTCACGCATTCGTAAACTAGTCTATATTAATATTGGGCATTGACTCGAACCAGCTGTCTTCTTCAAGACATAGCCGACCAATACTTTGGGGGCGTTTCTGAAGAACTGGGTGAGCCGAAATGCAGCCGATCAGCGAGTCTCTGTGGTAAGGGCGTGGCTATTGCCGAGAGGCGCAAATTCGAGCTCACACAACAAAACAAGTCCGTCTTCATCACAATAGCTTGTGGTTTGGTGGGATTGCAAATGATCTCAATTGAAGTGGAACACATGCTGCAAACTCAGACATGCGCCCAACCGTTGGCGACCAGAACTTGCATTTCATTGATTAAGCAAAAACCACCGCTTTCTCGCTGCCGAGGATGATCCTTCTCCCACTTCGCGACACGACTGCGAACGACTTGCATCTTGAAATAGGAAGAGGTCGTCCAGCGGCGAATCCGATTCTCCCAGAGAGCCACGGCAAGATTTTGCAAGGACAACCATGCCCGAGTCGGATGCACCGCAGCATAC